GTAGGGTGGGGGTGGGGTGGAGGGCCAGCGGGCTTAGAGGTGGGAAGGGGAAGAAAGAGAGGGAGAAAGAAGGTGGGTGAGAAGCCCCTGCTTTAAAGTGGGGGTTGGGGGGGGAGGCCGATGAGCCTGGCTCTGCACTCAGTGGGGAAGAGGGCTGGCAGTGTCAAGAACCTGCGGCCTTGAGACAGACTTCTCTGAAACCGGAAGAGAAAGACCAGAAACCAGGCAGGGAGACAGCCTGGAGTGACTGCCTCAGTGGGCCTCTTCTCCACACCAATCCCAGGCCCTCTCACTCAGTCAGAAGCTGCCTCAGAGTTCACCTCGTTCCCCACCCAGCTGGCCATCTGCCACTCCCTCCCCAAGGTCCCCCCCCACACACACATATACACCATCTCCATGTATCTAATGATCTCCACCGAGCCCTTGGAGAGTCGGGCACTCCATAGGGCACCCAGCCATATTCCAGGTGGACATAATCCTGGGCCTTAGGAAGACCTGCAGGGGATGCAGGCCTGGACAGAAGGAGACCCTGTTTAGGGGGCCGGAGGTTGGGAGCCCTGGTTTGGGAAGACTTCCTGAAGGAAATGATACCCATGGTGGTCTGAAAGTTGAGCTGGAGCTGAAAGTTGAGGTGAAGACAACGTTGGACCACGTGTGCCAGAGCAGAACTGGGCACCACCTAGTTCTGTGGGAAGTATAGATCATGGGCCTTTCTTCTGAGGGACTCTGGGTGAACTTGAACCTCTCATCTTGTGGGGAGCACTCAGGGCAGCCAGTTCAGACACAGGGATCAACAAGTCCACTGGACCTCGAGTTCATCTTAGCTGAACAAATCCCAAGAGGGCCACCTGGAGGAAGCCAGGGTAGACAATGGACAGTGGGAAGCAAAGGGGGATGTTTAACTGGTGGGAGAGTTGCCCTGGGGCAGGATGGCAGGGGGTAGCAATAAGACTAGTCCACAGACTGGAAGGGGTGGATTCTAGAAATACTTGGAGGAATCTGCAGGACTTGGGGCTGGGTTGGGAGTACAGAGGGAGGGTGGAGGGAGAAGGAGTCAAGGATGGATCCCAGGTACCTAACTGGCGAGTCTGGATGTTGTGGGAGGAGATGACCCCTTCCAAGAGACAGTGTTTCCAGGAGGGACGGTTCCTCAGGGCCAAAGCGGTGGAGAGAAGGGGCGGGTGAGCTGGGGACTCAGCAGAGTTTAATGAACTCAGTGACAGGAGGCAGCTGGTGGCCTTAATGAGAAAGAATCCGTGGTGTGACCGGGCAGGCGCCAGATTGGAGTGGATTGACGTTTGAGAAGGAAATGAAGTGGGAGCGTAGACAGCCCTTTCAGGACAGGAGGGGATCTTAGCGAAGGCAGTGTGCAGCTGAAGGACGGTGTTCAGACGGAGGAGAGGGGTGCTGCCACTCTGAGGGGTGGTGCGCACTGACTAGGAAGAGAGAGGTGTCTAGGGAGCCTCGAGGGCTCACAGACGTGCAGGGCCCAGCTCCCCATCTGGCTCGGCAGTTTGGGACTAAACCCCAGGGAGGTGGAAAACCGGATGGCTGCAAGGTTGAGGCTTTGCTGGGCTGCCTTGGCAGGAAGGCAAAGTGACAAGTCAAGGGTGTGGCAGGAGGGTACTGAAGCTAGCCAGTGTGGGCTCTCTGGCTGCAGAACAAAGAAGAAGCAAGAGGTCGGTGGAGAAAATGTAGAGCATTCTGGGGAACTCGTGAAGTCGGGGAACAGGGACAGCAAGAGGCCATGTGGTGGGGCGAGGGAGAGCACAGACTGAGGAGTCTCCCAGTGTAGCTATGAATCCCACCCCTGCCTTGGGCAGGGGTTTGTATCCCTCTGAGCCTTTGTCTCCTCTGTAAGCTAGGGATGGTGACAAGTACAGTTGTGGTGTTGAGGGTTTAAATGAGTTAATGTATATGAAGGGCTTAGAACAGGGTTTGGCATCTAGTAAGTTCTCTACAAGTGGTTGCAGAGTGCTAAACCAAACTCACGATTCCGACGCAGAGGGACCCTCTGGGGCAGAACAGAACTGTGCCTGTGGGTTTCTGAGGCTGTCACCCTCTATGGGAGCAGAAAGCCTCATCTTTCTCCTGAGGAGCAGCCGGTGGTTTTGAACCA